TGGTTTGAATTCTGAGTGCATGCCCTCCCTTTAAAATTCACAAGGACGGATGCCGCGGATCCAAGGTAAGGCGATACGGCCACTGCCTCGTAGAAACACCGGTTGGCCAGTAGAACAATGACGGCTGCTGTGTAACAGTAGGAAACATAGCACCACTTCGGTGCTCTATTTGTGTCAGATCCGGAACAACGCCGGATCTATCTCCCAGTTCAACGGCAGTCACCATGGAAGAGTCAATCGGAGCCTAAAGCAATGAGCACGTCACGGAGACAGGGTCTTTCCTCCAGGCATCGATCGAACGCTGTAGAAGGCCAATTCGACTTGCCACAGTGCCGGATCTGTCCTCCAGGCTCCGTTCGCCGCCATGGGAGCTTCAATCCAAAGAACGACGGCGCTGGATCCGGCGAAAACGCGCCCTGAAAAAAGAGCGCTATCCAAATTTCTTGGCCCCAAACTTGGATCGGCGCGGCCGGACCGTAACTAGAGCCTCAACCGGTGCCCTCCAGCCCTTCCACCGAGAACAGCGAAAGGACGAAAGGAAATGAGAGAGGGATGGAGAGGAAGAAGGAGAGCGCTAAGTGAGGTTTCGATTATTTTATTATTATTATTATTTTTTTATTTCAACCCGCAGAACGGACTCTCTTATAGGTCCAAAGTAAAGCCCAATCTTAATACCCACATCCTCTCTCAAGTCTCACCCGTGAAGTCCAAGATTTGCTAATTCAACCAGGCCCAGTACTTGCACTATGGCTCTTGTTGGCTTCTGCTTCTTCTTCTACCTTATTAGATCCTGAATTCAAGTCACTCAAATAAATTAATTTCTTTAAATGTATCAAATTATTATGAGGGTGCTTTTCTTAAGATTCGTCAGAGAGATAAATTATAATCATTTTGGGGAAGAATAATGTGTTCCCATCAGGATTCTTATTTAATTATCTTTATTACAGAATATACAATCAAACCAAATACAAAAAGATATCATGTATACCAGCAAGGACAGAACAAAATGTGAAGCCCTTCCATTTTTTCTGTTTACATGAGTTGTGCATCCCTGCTGTCAACGAATTCCAAGGAAGTTGTCCCAACTAGGGACCCTTCCATGGTCAGCTGTGGTGTCCATGGGACATAGAGATGCTAATTGATGCATATCAAGCCCGAGATTATTGTTTGTCACTACAGAAGATTGCTCGTTAGAGGCCTCCCTACCATCCTCGGTGTACCACTGATGAACTTGCATGGGAGAAGGGATAACATTGTCCTGCTTTGACAAGTCTTCATGTGCAGTTTGCATCTGGTCTGCGGTTTCTTCCTTTGATCTCAATATTATACATTATCAAATGGAGGAAGCATTAAGATGAAGCAAAGGGGTACTTAATATTTCAAATCAGAACAAAGACTGTGCCGACTACACATGAAGGACTCCTTGATTTCTTCTCAATGTAAAAAAGATTGTACCGACTCCCTACCAAGATCTATATTTAGGAAATGTTGATATCAACCCAAGAAACGATCTCTGCATTAATGGTTCTTAAGGCAGAACTCTAAAAGGATGGATGATGAAGACTGCAAAGCATCAGATAGTGATACAAGGATGGAAACAAGGGTAGGCAAATTTATACTCTAGCAATGAAGTCTTAATATTTGTAAAAATGCTGAAAAAAATGTTGACAATGTGTTTCCTAAAAAATCCTCTTGTGGCCTCGCCTGTGTGAAATTTGGATGCGGGCGTGCCACTTACTTTGCTGAAAGTAAGAAAGGAGGACTTTTCCAACGACCTTCTCCTTCCTCACAATCAACCTCTTCGCAGATGGCGGGAGGAACGTTGGATTAAAATTGAAATTGCGCCTTCAGACGATTTGCAAGAAGGAGGGATGCCTTCCTACAGAATGGGTTATGAAATCTGCCTCGGACAACTCCAAGGACTTAAACACTATCGTGACTTAAAATTAACAAATCCTAATTATTTTAAATTGCCTGCAATTTAAAGTAATTTTGCGAGAAAAAATTGTACCCAAATTAAATTAAACATGCTTAAAGTAAAATTAAAATGCTATCTACTGACAGATTTAAAAGTTAAATTGCTGCAGAACTGTAACTTTAACCCTAATTAGCACTTAAATTAGACGTGAATTGTAAAGAAATTGAAGAACTTGAAATTGGAAGAAGCATGAAAGCCACATAAGTAATCATTGAAGCAATGCTATTTAACATAAACATTAAATTAATTACAAATGAAAAGAAAACAATACCTTGCATAAACTTGAAGGATTGAAGTTCATTGCATGAAAGGAAATTGTTTAACTGAATATAGGAAATAATTTGTCTACTGGAATGATGAAAAACAAGCTAATTCTAATGGAATCTGTGCTGGAATACGAAATCTGTGCTGAAAACCGAAACTTGGAAGCATGTGCGGAGAAAATCAAAATATGAAAATTTGCTAATGTTTGAGTAGGGCTGGCCGTGTGTTCCTCTTGCCAAAATTTCCTTTTTATTCCTCTTGTGCCAGCAGTTACTCAATCATGGGTAGTTTGTTGGAATAGTGGGACACCTCATCTTTTGACCTAATCTAATCTCCTTTCAGATTTCGCCACCTGTACTTTATCAGATAAAATCCCCTTTTTAACTGTGATCCTCTCCTATTTTCCAGCTGCCATTATCTTTTCTGTTTCAAGAAGATAATTACTCCATAAAACATTATTTTTACCTCTCCTATCTTGCCAACTCATGTACTGATCTGTCATGGGGTCCAAAATCCAAATCTGACATAACTTAAACTCCTCCGGCCAATAAAAATTTTACACGTGACATTAATTAAAATTTTGTAATTTATGGTGTAAACAATGCCCTTAACACTTGGTTTTATTAAGATAAATCCAAGTGTTTTAATTAAATAAATTGCCTCCCACACCATAATTACTTATGCCACATGTCAAATCTCCTTTAAAAGCAACTTCACAAATATCTCCCGGAGCAATTTTCTAGATAAACCCCAACCATTCCTTTTTCAAAATTTAATTAATTCTAAAATCCAAAAAGATAAAGAAAAGTCAAACTTACTTTTCTTTTTTCCTTCTCCTTTTTCTTTGGGTCAATATTGGCTGCCTCCATCTTTTCTATCCCTTTTTCAACTTAGTCAAATCCCAAAAAGTAAGGCAAAATTAAATTTACCTTATTTATCTCTACAGCTTCCTCAAGCCACCTCAATTTGCCAGCTGCAGGCTGCCTCATCTTTTCTATCCCTTTTTCAACTTAGTCAAATCCCAAAAAGTAAGGTAAAATTAAATTTACCTTATTTATCTCTACAGCTTCCTCAAGCCACCTCAATTTGTCGGCTGCACTCTTCCTCTTTTCTTCTTTTTTTTTTTTTTTTTTTTTCACCGTCAGTGGCCCCGTTGAAAAGTCTCCTCCATTTTATTAATTTTCAAAACAAATCCCAAAAGCAAGGATTAGCTGAAAATTGAAAATTAAAAATTTATTGTCTTCTCCATCTTCCACGGGCCAAACCGACTTTCCCTTTCCATTTTACTTTGCTTTACCGCCGGCTGCACTCTTCCTTTACTTGTTTGTTCACCAAATAGCTTCCAAATTTCTACCCATCTTGCAACATCTAAGCTTCTCCCAGTCACAGCCGGTCCCTCTGCTTCATTTTTTTTTTTATGCTTCCCTAGATCTACCCAAAACAGCAACCCACTTCTTCCAACTTCTAGATCTATTGCCGGCTGCACTCCCTTTACTCGTTTGTCCAGATCTACCCGGTGGTCCCCCCGGAGACTCTTCTTGCTTCACAGGTAATTGTTGACTGTTCTTTTCACTTTATTTGCAAAGATTTGCTTTGCTTGTGCCCCATGGACCCTACCGGGAATCCTCCTTGTGCGTGTGATTACCGGCTAACTCCTTTCTCCCTTTTTTTTTTTTGTTTTGTGTGAGTGCAGATCTGCCTGGCTTGGCTCGTGACCGGTGGACCAGTACCGAACAGCCTTCCCTTGCCAAAATCATCTCCATGGCTCATGACCCAGAAGAGCAATCCATGCCCACCGGATCTGCTTCCATGGCCGGTTCAAAGGCCACTCCTTGCTTGAGGTCACCTCCCCCAGATTTAATTAAAATCTTTCAAAATCGAAATCTTCAAGATGATATAAACAGGATACCCCAAAAAAAAAAGCCATGCCATTCAAACCAAACTTTTGTTCCTCACAAAAAATCTCAGATTTTGGGCTTGTAATTGCACCAAACCAGAAGTCCTTCTTCAGTCCGCGCTTGCACTCTGAGATGACTTGCAAAGCCCCGAGGTTGAACTCAGGGTAGACACTCCGATGCTTAAGTCAGCAATAATCGGAGCTACCTTTAAGGCGGAGATAAGAAAAGCTTAAGGTTGGTTTCAATTACCTTTTTGACGTGGCCCGGGGTATTTATATGATCCAATGAGGAACCCACGTGGCATGCCAAGCAAGATAATCGGAGCCTAACATGTCCATTCAGACGGTTATTCCGGGATCGGGAATTTGAGAGATATCCAGATGCACGAGCGTCCACCATACTTGCTGTGCCACTCATCTTAAGAAATCAGGTGCAGGCATGCTTATTGTCCTTGTCATGCAGTCATTTGAGCGGGAAGCTCTGGATTTATTCCTCACTTCGGTCATAAAAAAATTACTATAGCAGTCTGAGGCTTGGCATCTCGGACCTATCCTTACACTATTCCCCCCTCGAAATCATTCACTTGTGAATGATGTTATTGGGGATGTTAAGGGAAGCGTATAAACAAAGAGAATGAGGATAGGTTATGGGAGTAAGAGAAAGAGATAAAGTTTGTAACTTAAATGTAAATATAACCGTAACTAATAATGAAATATGCAACAGTGGATTACACTGGGAGTGTCTTAAATAGAATATGACCGGAGCGATCATGGCTGTGGTCGTGTAAAAATAATGACTAGAATTAGTCGTGGCTGTAGCCATAGTAAAAGGTGATGATCGGAGTCTTGGTGGTCGTAGTCATAATAAAATATGATGACCGGAGTCATGATGGCAGGAACCGCAATAAAGTATGATGACTGGAGTCATAATGGCCGGAGCCGTAATAAAATGTAATGACCGGAGTCATAATGGCCGGAGCCGTAATAAAATGTGATGACCGGAGTCATAATGGCCGTAGCCAAGGTAGAGTATGTGACATGTAGTCACAGTAACTAGAACCGAAGTAAGACATGTGCCTCTGTGGCCGGAGCCGAAGTGAAACACTATGCTAGTTTAAAAGTGTAATTGTATGAGTAAACAGAAGTGCTGAGCTAGGCTTAAATATATAAAAATGGGAGTCAAAATGGCCGGAGCCATAATAAAATATAATGACCGGAGTCATAATGGCCGGAGCCGAAATAAAATGTGTGATACAGGATCACTGTGGCCGAAGTCGATGTGAAATGTAATGCAGCATTATTATGGCCGGAGCCGAAGTGAAACACTTGACAAAATTGAGAAAAGTAAACAAAGGTGTTGAAATGGGCGTGAGTGGGTCCGTCTGGAAAATCTGACAACGTGGTGTGACAGTTGTCCTTGGAATGACGTGTGCAATAAATACAGCCGTAAAAAGATAACTGCAACAATTAAACGGGCAAATTTAAAAACGAACCGTCAAGTTCAAAACGGTACCGTTTGCGGTTGTTCGTTGAATTCCAAACGGTATCAACAGGGACCGTAAGATTAAACGAATCTCCGCCGTTGAGATCTAATTTTGCCCAGAAGTATAAATAGGCATTTTTTCTGCAGAAAAAGGTTTACTTGCATTTTTTTTCCTGCAAAACTTCTGCGAGAAGTTTCACCTTGCGTTTCTTGTGCGTGAACTGCAGCATCAACTAGGGAACTCTAAATCAAGTCTTTCGAAACCGAAATCAGGTAATGTAGACGAAACTCTGAGTTTAAGTTAATCGAAGTGTCTCTCTCCTTTCTCCCTTTCTGTGATTGATTTAGAGTCCTCTGAAGGAAGTTAGGGTTAGAGATGAGAGGGATTTTGAATGTGTAACAGAGGGGTTTTTCTTCTTTTTTTTTTTAATTTTTTTTTTAAATGGGTCCTGACTTCATTCCTCCCTCCTACTTCGTGCAGAGTTTGAGAAAATGTCTTCAGAATGGACAAGAAGTGTAGTAGGGAGTGAGGTGATGCCCCTGGACTATGGGAGCATGGACTTAGAAAGTAGTCCGTCTTCATCTAGTTCGGAGAAGACGGTCGAAGGGGTGAGAGGGGATGAGGTGGTGGAGGTTGGGGGAGATGAGGGGGTAGAGGTTAGGGAAAATGAGGTGGTAGGGATTGGGGGAGATAGCATACCTATTACCGTAGTAGAAGTAGAGGGTAGAGGAGAGGGAGGGTATGATGTGAACGCGGAGATAGTGGAGGAGGTGAAGCAGTACAGGTCTGAGTTAAGGACCAGGGATAGCCTGGGTCACTTGGTAGAGAATTACGAGATTTCATCTCGAGTGTTAGTTAGGCCAGCTGGGGTAGAGGAAAGGGCGTGCTCTGCTTCTCGGGATCACTGGATGCTTGTGTATTCCCACTATTTGATAGCGGGACTCAGGTTTCCACTTCCTAAGTTGCTAATAGGTTTACTGTTAGATTACAATATAGGGTTGACACAGTTGGTCCCCAACGCAATGAGGGTAATAATAGGTTTTTTAGTTTATTGCCGAGCTCAGGGGATCAATATGCCAACTGTAAATATGTTTAAGTATTTTTTCGTTTTGAAGGGGGGAAGTAGGAGGGATAAGGGGTGGTATTATTTCACCCCTAGGGTAGCTAAGAAGGAGAGTAAGATTTTATTTACTGCGGGTCCTTCATCCATTAAGGAATGGAAGGAAAAATTCTTTTTTGTAGATGATACTAAGTGGGGGAAAGAGGATGCTGAGGTGAGGGCGTTAGCTTCCTGGAAAGCCAAAAGGGCCAACCAGAATAGGTTTAGCTTAAATGGGGATGAGGAGGAAGAAGTGAGGAAGTTGGTGAGGAAGAGGGGGGAGGAATTGAATATCATGGACCTCACCACGCAGCATGTATAGAAGCTGCTGAGCTCTATGGGCCAAGCACTTTAAGTGAAGGTTTGTTTAATATGCACTGTAACGTTAAGTGTAGAATATAAAATTGTGACTAATATTGTGTTTCTTGCTTTGCAGCTGAAATGGACCAATTTCTGAACATTGCTAGAAGAGCGCCCATCCCCAAGAAGCCAAGGAAGAAGTCAAAGACTTCAGCCAAACAAGTGGATGAGGGGAGGGCTGGGAAGGAGGTGGTACCCTTGGCGTCAGCTGGGACAGAGGAGGAGGTGCCACCGCTAAAGAGAAAGGGTTGGGAGGAGAGGAGGGCACTGCAAAAGAAGCAGAAGGGAGGAGAGGAGGGCACTGCAAAAGAAGCAGAAGGGAGGAGAGGAGGGCACTGCAAAAGAAGCAGAAGGGAGGAGAGGAGGGCACTGCAAAAGAAGCAGAAGGTAGTAGAGGAGGATAAGGAGGATGAGGTTCCTGAGTTCGTACCTCAGCCTCCTTTTGTTGAGCTGGACCCCGAGCTCAGACGGTTGGAGGAGGGGGCTGAGGTACGGGCTCCTGGGAAGGGGAAGGGCCCTGTTTCCCCTGCGGTGCCTCAGAGCAGCCTGTTCGAGGCGAAGAACGTAATGAGGGCTAGGTGGTTTATCAATAGCACCTTCCCCGAAATGGACAAGCGCAACGCGCGGGAGGAAGCTCTGAGGTACCGGGGAGCATCTGTTGTGAAGCACGTCCTTGAGGTACGTTAAGTTAGTGCTGCTGTTTATTTATTCTGTTTTCTCCTTGTCTTCTTTCTTTTTGAACTTCTGCTTTGATTTGCAGAGCGCGAGCTGGGTGAATGGTCTAGCCTAGGAGTTCAGGGAGAGTATAAAGGAGCGCGCACTCTTGCAGAGGCAGTGTGACCAGCTGCAGAAGGAGAAGGAGGTGCTGGAGAAGAAAAATAAACATCTGCAAGAGTCGCTGGACGAGGTGGTTCCAACTGTTTCACAGTTGGAGCAGGAGAGGTCTTCCCTAAGCACCAAGCTCGCTTTTGAGGAGAGCAAGCGAAGGATCGCTGAAAGCGAGCGTGAGGCTCAAGCGCAAGAAATGAAGCTGATGACAAAGGCGTTCAAGGAGCTGAAGGGGAACATGCGGAAGTTGGTGCATAATGGGATGAAGGATCACATCAGCAACTTCATCAGTTCCAGCTCATTTGACAGCATCGTCAACCTGTACCGGCTGCCCACTGCCATCATCGCTTTCATAGACTGCAGAAAGAAGGTGAAGGCTGCATATCCCGAAGTGGATGTGACAAAGGTCACCTTCGGCGAGCAAGAAGAAGGAGTGGAGGAAGATGGTGAGAGCATGTCAGCAGACTTCCGTCCTCAGATCAAACTGAGGTGGGAGGATGATGCAGACGGTCTTGCTGTTTTTCCTCCACAGTTCGACTTCGAGTTCGTTGCAGTGGAGGAAGAAGGAGCAGAGGTAGAAGAAGACGAAGTGGAGGCAGGAGTAGAAGGAGCTGGAGTGGATGATAGTCAACCAATTCCAGAAGTGGAGATTCATCCAATTCCTTCTGACGATGAAGAGCCTCCTCTGCTAGACGAGCAGCAGCCAACACAGCCACCTCTTCCAGCTGAACAGGAGCCAGTGGAGCCACCTCTCCCGGAAGAATAATTTGTTTGTTTTTTAATTTTTTAATTTTTTGTAAAGACATTTATAGCTTGTAATCTTTATTTTAATTGAAATGAAAATTTATATTTGAAATCATGTGTTTGTTTATATTTGCTTTACATTTTTGGTATTATTTTTTATTAATAAAAGAACTGAGATTGTGATTTGGATGAAAGGCAACCATTTCAAAAAGGAACTAAGGGGAAGTAAGTCACTTTGGACAAAGTAAGAAGAAGTAAATAACTTCCATGTAGATTAGGAATGAGTACATCATTGTGAATGAACTTAAAAGGAAATAAAGTACTTCACATGTGAAGTAACTTTTATTAATCAGAAGTGAGGTTTAAGTACTGATTGACCTCGGATACATGGAAAAAGAGATAAAATCAATCTTAACAAACACGGAGTGAGAAGCATAAAGAACAGTAAGACATAGATTGCTTGGAAGAATTTCATTAGGGGTAAAATTTCTTCAAGTTATTGACATTCCAGACTCTAGGAACTCTTTTTCCTTCAGCGTCTTGGAGAATATAGGCACCAGGATGTGGCACTTCGGCCATGGCATAAGGACCTTCCCAATTTGGGGCAAGTTTGCCAAAACGAGTTTCAAACCCCGTTAAGCCAGCTTTTCTGAGAACAAGGTCTCCTATTTTGAATGTGCGAGGGCAGACCCGTTTATTGTAGAAGTTGGCTAGCTTCTGCTTGTATACAAGAGTTCGAAGCCGAGCTTCTTCTCTGACTTCGGCAAGCAGATCAAGGTTTTCCCGAAGCAGTTGTCCATTTCGTTCTTCATCGAAATGGGTGACCCGGAAGCTTGGGACTCCTATCTCAACAGGAATGACTGCTTCGGTACCAAAGGCCAGGTGATAGGGTGTTTCACCTATTTTAGTTAATTATAACTTTAGAATGCGTTTTATGCATTATGCATATTTGCTCTAAGGTAAAGCATGGCAGAAGAAGTGAAATACTATAGAAATTAATCAAATAAACTCGGTTTAAAGTAGTACATGTGGCAGTTCGGCTCGTGGTTCTGTATGCCCAGAGGATGTTGTTGAGCTCGTCTGCCCACTTGGCCTTATGCTGCTCCAATCTCGGCCTTATACCTTCCAAAATGCATTTGTTAACAGATTCCAGCATGCCATTGGACTCTGGATGGTAAACGGAGGTGAACTGTAACTTGATCCCATAACTGGAGCAGAAATCTCGAAATGAGGAGCAATTGAATTGAGTTCCATTATCAGCCACAATCTGATTTGGGATCCCATATCTGCAGATGATCGAACTGAAAACAAAATCTTCGACCTTCTTAGAGGTAAGACTAGATAAAGGCCGAGTTTCAACCCACTTCGTGAAATAATCAACACCAACAATCAGATGGGTTACACCACCCACCCCTTTCACAAATGGGCCTAAAAGATCCAGTCCCCACTGAGCGAATGGCCACGGCGCTACCATGTTCGTGAGCTCTTCTGCTGGTTGATGAGTCAGGTGTGCGAAGAATTGACATTTCGGGCATTTCTGAACAAAGTAAGTGGCATCTTTGTACATGTTTGGCCAGTAGTATCCTTGTCTTAAGACTTTGTGAGCCAAAGTTCTAGCACCAACGTGGCTCCCACAGACACCTTCATGTACCTCTCGAAGTGCGTATTCAGCTTCATAGGGGTTTAAACACCGTAGAAGAGGAAGTGAGAAAGATCTCTTATACAGGACTCCATCAACAAGTGTATACCGAGATGCTTTCTTCCTCAATTTCATTGCCTCCTGCCTGTCCTCAGGTACTATCCCATCTCGTAAAAAGGAGACAATTGAATCAGTCTAGCTCGGCGTGTCAGGGTTTGTGCTAATCTCCATCACCCGAGGCTTCGTGAAGCTTGGTTCATCTAAGACCTCTACAAAAACGGATCTGGAGCTTAAAGAGCTATCAGAGGCAAACTTGGAGAGTGAATCTACCTGTTCATTCTCAGCTCGGGGAATTTTACTTAGACAGAATTTCTGAAATTTGCACTTCAGCTCGGCCACCAAGACTACATACTTTACCATCACAGGATCAACGACTTCGTAAATAGAGTTGATTTGGTTCACCACCAGCTAAGAGTCACTATATACTTGAATTGCACTGATTTTCAACTCTAGTGCGAGTTGTAGACCAAGTAGTAGAGCTTCATATTCAGCCATGTTATTTGTTGCATCGAAATTGAACTTCAGGGCATGTTCGTTTCGGTATCCCTCTGGACCAATCAAGAGAGCGCCAGCCCCTGAACCCTTGCTACTAGATGCTCCGTCAACATATAAGGTCCAGTCGTTGGGCTCTGGATTAGAGGTT